ATGGTCAGTCTAGCTAGGGGACCATCAATCTGTTTATCCTTTGAAGAAACCAGCTTCTGTTTCATTGATTTTTTGTATTATCTTTTGTCTTCTATGTCCCTGGATTTGGGCTTTTTATTTTGGTGATCTGGATTCTTCTGCTGAAATTAGGGTTTTTGTGGTCTTGCTTTTCCATCTTCTTTAGGTGGCTTGTTAGGTTGTCAATTTCTGTTCCTTCCATTTTCCTCATGTGTGTTTGTAGGGATATAAATTCCCCTCTTATTACAGCTTTTGAGGCATCCCAGAGATTTTGGTAAGATGTTTCTTTATTTTCATTTGTTTCCAGGTATCTTTTGATCTCTATTTTGATGTCATCATTGACCCAGGGGTTATTTAGCATCATGCTGTTTAGTGTCCATGTCTTTGTGGGTTTTGGGGGGTCTATGAATTTTTTAAAATTATTATTATTATTTTTTGAGTTGAAGTCTCATTCTGTCACCCAGACTGGAGTGCAGTGGCACGCTCTCGGCCACTGCAGCCTCGACCTGCTGGGCTCCGGTGATCCTCCCAGCTTAGCCTTCCAGGTAGCTGGAACTACAGGTGCGTGCTACCATGCCCAGCTAATTTTTGATTTATTATAGAGATGAGGTCTCGCCAAGTTGCTCAGGTGGGTCTCGAACCCACGGGCTCAGGCAGTCCACTCAGACTTCGGCCTCCCAAAGCGCGGGATTACAGGCTGAGCCACTGAGCACGGCCACTCTATGAATTATTAAAACCTTTTTAATGAAGGCATTTGTGCATTACTATGAGATTAATAAACTTTAAACAAAAAATATGTAGGAGACATGGAAGAGGAAACTTCCTGTGAAATGGGGCTGCACAACTTGTACTAGAAGCCTTCAACCCTGGAGAAGCATGCTGTCTTCCCTGGACCCTGGGCCCACTGCTACTGCCTTTGAGTGGCTCATGTTTTTTTCTTCGAATCATCCATACTTAACTGGATGTTGCTAAGGAAGACATCCAGTGGCTCCATGGTTAAAAGAGTCAGGAGATCTGATTGGTTTTTCTTTGTAAATTATAAATAACTTAGAGGATAAATGAGTAATACTTTAATGAATTTTGAAGGCTCTGGAAATGTAAAACTTTTTTCAGCCTATGGTAATTATAATTGTTAAATAAAGCGAAAGGTAACTAAATAGCCTGCACACATTTTTGACTGTTTGTGAAATATAATCACCTTTAGGCAGCAGTAAAGATAGTCCTTATTTAGAGATAATTTAAAGTAAGTTAAATATGATTCCGTTGTAAACCTGTGTTGAATGGAAAGTTAAATAACAGGTACTAGAACTTAAATTTAATGTTTTATTCTGAACCAAAATTGAGGACTGCTAACCCAGGAACAGAGACTCAGTGCAAACCAAGAATGTATCCTGGAGTGGGCTGCACACAGCACAGCATTTACACATTTCTGATACATAGTAAATGGGAGGAGGGAACAGTGAAGCAAAGGTGACATTCTTACCTTTCTGATTGTACATAAGATAAAGCAAATAATGTGGTTAAAGTATATAGAGTAAATGGCTAACAAGTATGTAGGTGTCTTAGGATCTGGAGAGGGATGCTTGATTCTATCCTGCCTTTGTGTTTTGTTTGATAGTCAAGCTAGTAATCAGTACCTGCCAGTGACATATTTGGGCTGGGCGTGGTGGCTCAAGCCTATATTCTCAGCACTTTGGGAGGCTGAGGTGAGAGAATTACCTGAACCAGGGACTCGAGACCAGTCTGGGCAACTTGGTGAGACCTCGTCTCTACAATATATTAAAAAATTAGCCGGGCGTGGAAGCACATACCTGTAGTTCCAGCTACTTGGAAGGCTGAGGCTAGGATCACCTGAGCCCAGTGGATTGATGCTGGGGTGCTCGTGAACATGCCACTATACTCCAGCCTGGACAGCAGAGTGAGACCCTGACTCAATAAATAAATAAATAAATAAAAGAAATATTTGACAGACTCCAATTTTGCAGGTGAGGGTTCAGCTTTAGTTCATAGGCCTAGTTTCTATTATCCATATGTCCAAATTGTAGCCATTTTTGACTACTTTAAAAAAAATTTTTTCTTTCAGATCTTCCTTTTTTCTCACACCTGCCAAGAAAATAAATTCCATGACAAGGATGATAAGTCAGCTTATCTTCATGAAGTACTTCGTGTAGCATTTTCCTTGGTTTAAGGACCTTAGTTATATGAACAGAGAATATGTTTTGCTGTACTTAAGCCTCTTTTTTCTCCCCAATTAACTTGTTGCATTGGAATTCTATGTTTTCAGTGAGTCCAACATATTCACAAAAATGTTTTTCTTTATTTATTTCAGTATTGGCCTAATCTATTCTGAAATACTTCATGAGCTTCCAGTCTTTTTTATTTTATTTTATTTTGTAGAGGTGGGGGTTTTGCTATGTTGCTCAGCCTGGTTTTGAACTCTGGCCTCCGCAATTCACCCGCCTTGGCCTCTCAAAGTCTATAAGCATGAGCCACTATGCCTAACCCCAGTCTTCTTTTAAATCAAGTTCCCATGATTTTGTACTTTAAGGATTTTTTTCCTAGTAGTAACTAACTATCCTGTCCTCTCTTCCCCCTCAACATTTAGCTGATGCTTTAAAAAGACTGGTTTGGGTTTGTTCTGTACATTGCCATGCTAGTCAGGCACAGTTTTTTATTGTTGTGGATGTCATTTACTTTTCTATTGGTAGAAAAAAGAGACTGTACCACCTTTGCTGTTCAGTGATGAAGAAGAAAAGGAGACACCAGTTGAAGTGAAATCTGTAGATAAAAAGGTTGAAAGTGCCAAAGAATCATCAGAATTTGGGAGAACTGATGTGACTGAGGGGTCAGAAAAGGTGAGCTTTTTTTCTCTTGCCTACTCTATTTGACTTCATATGATGTTTTTTGTTGTTGTTGTTGTTGTTGAGTTGGAGTCTCACTCTGTCGCCCAGACTGGAGTGCAGTGGCCGCTCCCGGCCACTGCAGCCTTGACCTGCGGGGTTCCGGCGATCATTCCGTCTCAGCCTTCCAAGTACTGGAATTACAGGCGTGCGCTACCACGCCCGGCTGATTTTTTGATTTATTGTAGAGATGAGGTCTTGCTGCCCAAGCGGGTCTTGAACCCGCAGGCTTGGGCAATCCACTCACCTCAGCCTCCCAAAGGCGCTGGATTACAGGCTGAGCCACCAAGCCTGGCCATATGATGTTTTAAACACGTACAGATACACACTCTACAAAACTCGTTATATTTTTGTGCCACAGAAAATAACTGGCTCATTTGTAGACAGTTGAAAACACTGACAAACATGAAGAAGAAACCTATGTTCCCGTGGTGCAGGCAGCCTCTGCCTTGGCCCTTCCTCCTGGCCCTTCTCTAGGTCGTGTGCATGCTTTTGTTTACGTGGTTACTGTCATGTCATGGCATCTTTGCTATTTCTGACTTGTTCCCTTCTCTGTCGTGTTCCTGTTGCCCTCGGTTCTCCTCTAGACCCCACCTGTACTTGAATTTAAATGTCAGTTTTAAGGAGATTTTAGTCTAGCATTCTTTTGCTTTTAGTTGGTTGGGTGGGAGTTAATAGTAGAGTGAAATTTGTTATTTTTCTAAAACACTATCTTTCATCTCTGAAGGGTCTGCCATCTCTTGCAGGAGACCTGTGAATAATGCTGCTGGCCACATCTGGAATCCAGCCTCAGTGGTTGCCTTCAGTCTCTGCATACCTTTTCTGTTTTTACAAATTTTTTTGTTCTCTTTGTATTCTATTGCTGAGGTTTAATCTCTCCCAGGGCCTATGTGAAGAGCATTGCATTTGCTTTTCTTGCTGAGGCTCCTTGGAGCTACAGTGATACAAGTGTTTTATTTGTACCTTCATCACGGTTTGATAACCTCTACCCAGTGGCTAAGTGTGGACCTAAGTTACCCCAGTTCTAGCCTAGTTCACTCTTGACTCTGACTGCTTCTTGTACTGCCCTCTCCCTCATCGAGTATAAACTCCTTGAGGATTGGGCCAGGTTTATTTTGTCTGTAGCACTTAGCCTATTAACTTGTGCATACTAGGCGCTATTTTATAAGTTATTTTTTTCTCCAAAGAATCATTTTTTTTTTTTACAGTTTAAACACTCTGAAATTGGGGTGTACCTCACAATCAATGGTATGTTTAATTGGGAGTACTTTTTCTTTCTTGGTAGTGCATATAGTAATAGTGGTTTTAACTGTCAACGGTATCTTACCTGAACTGTGGTACTTGCTGAATGAATAAATGCTTCCATTTTAGAATTATTTTAGAGATTCTTTAACTGCATATACTATGTAAATCTTCTACAATTTCAGTGTTTGGTTTCGCTGATTAGGTTTCCCCTTGGGTATTATTTATTAGTTAAATCCTAGGAAACACATGATCCACTCCCAATGACTGGCATTTGTGTTGTCTCTGTGACTTAGAAGTTCTTTTTAACCCATGAGCAACCAATATGCATCAGTCTTATAACTGTCCTATCACTCGGTAGGAGGGAGGAGCCCATGGCCTTAAACTGATAGGAAATATTATTCTTTGGCTATCAATGCTCTGTAGAGGGCTCTCCCTTGGAGCAGCCAATCAAGAATTGACCTTGGTGTTTTGTTACTTAGGAGAAGCTGTGATTAGCTGTAGTTTCCTGAATCATGCAAATATGGCAATTAATGAAGAACTTGGGAGGCTCTATGTTAGGGTTTGTATTTCCAGGTATTGCTTATTCTCTCCTTATTATTTTCATTTTCAGGATGGACATTTGACTAGATCTGCTCAGGAAGCAGTCAAGCATTCTGATTTATTTTCTTCATCATCCCCATTGGACAAAGGAACCAAGGGTAGAACCAAAACTGTTCTTAGTTTGTTTGATGAGGAAGAGGATAAAACGGAAGATCGAAACAGCATCCAGGCTCCACAGAAAGAAGTAGGAAAGGTAAACAAAAAGCAATAAAGGTTCAAGTCTGTAGATGAGATAAAAGAATCTCATTTCAAGGTTGTCAGTTCTGTTATGTGACTATTCAAGAAATCTTAACCTTCAGTACAGAGTGTAAACTATTTTTCTCTAGTCATATAGATGTTTAAGAATCTAAATCAGTAACTCTTGCCTCAAGTAACACACTGCTGCATAGGGGATTCAAATTGTCTTTTCTGGGATTTTACAAACCTTGGGATTTGAGCGAGAAGAAAGAGAATTTAGGCTAGATCTGTACATCTAAGTATTTCTTGCATTCAGTTTTAGAAATATGTGTTATAGGTGGACTTTCATGTTTAGGAGGTGTCAGCAAACTTTTCCTGTAAAGGGTCATGTTGTAACTGTTTTAGGTTTTGCAGTGCTCTTGTAGCTGCTCAACTCTACTAATGGTAGCATAAAAGTAGCCTTAGAAAGAAGCCTTGCTGGGCGTGGTGGCTTATACCTATAATCCCAGCACCTTGGGAGGCCGAGGCGAGAGGATTCCCTGAGCCCACAGGTTCAAGACCAGCCTGGGAAACTTGGTGAGACCTCGTCTCTACAATAAATCAAAAAATTAGCTGGGTGTGGTGCATGTGCCTGTAGTTCCAGCTACTTGGAAGACTGAGGTGGAAGGATCGCCTGAGCCCAGCAGGTCAACACTGCAGTGGCCATGAACGTGCCACTGCACTCCAGCCTGGGCAACAGAGTGAAACTCCAACTCAAAACAATGAAAGAGAGAGAGAGAGAAAGAGAAAGAAAGAAGCCTTAATGTTGTTAAGGTGGCAATGTGAATAGGCTTAACTGTGTTCCAATAAATTTCACTAATAAAAATAAGTGATGGTCATTCTGTGGGGCTATTATTACCCCAATATTAAAAGTAGGCCTCATCTCTACAATAGATCAAAAAGTTAGCCGGGCGCGGTAGCGCACACCTATAGTTCCAGCTACTTGGAAGGCTGAGATAGAAGGATTGCCGGAGCCCAGCAGGTCGAGGCTACGGTGGCCGGGAGCGTGCCACTACACTCCAGTCTGGGTGACAGAGTGAGACTCCAACTCAAAAAGAAAAAAAAAGAATGTAGATAAAAAAATCTTCAACAAAATACTACTAAACTCAATTCAACAAAAATATAAAAAGGATTACACACCATGAGACATGAGATTTATCCCAGAAATGCAAGATTGGTTGAACATGAAAAATCAAATTATACTGAATCTATGAAATAACAGATGGAGAAAAAATGTTTGATAAAATCCAAACCTTTTCATGATAAAAACACAAACGAGTTAAGCATAGAAGGGAACTTCCTCAACTTGATAGAGAACATTGAACATTTATGAAAACCCACAGCTAATATCATACTTAAGTGTGAAAAACTGGCTACTTTCTCCTTAAGAACATGAAAAAGGCAAGGATGTTCACCCTTGCAACTTGTAATTAACCATGTATTAGAGGTTCTAGGCAGGGTCATTAGGCAAGAAAATGAAATAAAAAGACATCCACAGAGGAAGAAATAAAGCTATCCCCTATTTGCAGGTGACATGATTTTATATATAGAAAGTACTAGAGACTCTACTAAAATTTTTACTAGAACTAATTAAACAAATTCAGCAAGATTGCTGATTATAAGTTCAATATATGAAAATCAGTTGCAGTTCTGTATGCTAGTAATAAACAATTTGAAAATGAAATTAAGAAATTGCAGCAGCACCAAAAAGATAAAATACTTAGTAATACATGTAACAAAAGGAGCGCAAGACTTATAAACTAAAAACTACAAAATAGTATTGAAAGAAATTAAAAACTTTAAATAGATGACAAACATCTCATGTTTATAGACTGGAAACTTTAATTTTGTTAAGGTGATAATACTTCCCAAATTGATCTACAGATTGAATGTGGTCCCTATCAAAATTCCAGCTTGCTTTTTGCAGAAATGGACAAACTGATCTTAAAATTTATATGGAAGTTTAAGGGACCCAGAATAGGCAATAATTTTGAAAAAGAAGAATGAAGTTAGAGGACTCATATTTCCCAGTTTGAAATCTTACTTCAAGATTGGTAAGTGGTACTTTGGAATGTGGTACTGCCCTAAAGTTAAAACACATAGGTTGGTGAAATAGAGTTGAGTTCAGAAATAAACCCTCACATATACAGTCTACTGCTTTTGGACAAGGGTTCCAAGATAATTCAGTAGGATAGAATAGTCTTTCAACAAATCAGTGCTGACACACTGATGATCCACATGCAAAAGTATAAAGTTGGACCCTTAACCCACACCATTTACAAAAATAAACCTAGATCATAGATCCAAATGTAAGAGGTAAAACTATACAACTCCTGGAAGAGAATATATGAGCAAATCATTATGACCTCAGGTTAGGCAAAGCCATCTTAGATAATGACACCAAAAGTACAAGTGACAGAAGAATAAATAGCCAAATTGGACTTTATTGAAATGGAAAAAAAACAAAAAACAACTGTGCTTCAAAGGGAGCCATTAAGAAAGTCAAAAGATGCTGGGCTCGGTGGCTCAGCCTGTAATCCCGCGCCTTTGGGAGGCTGAGGTGAGTGGATTGCCTGAGCCCGTGGGTTTGAGACCCACCTGGGCAGTGAGACCTCATCTCTACAATTAAAACAAAACAAAACAAAACAATCAACCAGGCGTGGTAGCGCATGCCTGTAATTCGGCTACTCGGAAGGCTGAGGCAGAAGGATCGCCGGAGCTCAGCAGGCGAGGCCTGGGCGACCGAGTAAGACTCCAACTCAAAAAAAAAAAGAAAGTCAAAAGACAACCCACAAAATGGGAGAAAATATTTGCAAATTGTGCATTTGCTAATGGACTTAGATCCATGATATGTAAAAGATTTACAAGTAAATAATAAAGACAAATAGCCCAATTAAAAGATAGGACAAAAGATCTGAATTGTAGACATTTCTGCAAAGAAGATATACAAATAGTCAAAAAAACACATGAAAAGATGCTTGGTATCAGGGAAATGTTAATCAAAACCACAATGAGATACCACTTCACATTCATTGGAATGGCTATAATTTTAAAAAAAGGAAAAATAAGTGTTGGTGAGGATATGGAGAAACTGAAACTCATTCATTGCTGCCAGGAATGTGGAATGGTAAAACCCCTTTGGAAATCAGTTTGCAGCTCCTCAAATTGTTAAAACATAAAGTTACCACATGATCCAGGAATTCTACTCCTAGGCGTATATCTTTTTTTTTTTTTTTTTTTTTGAGTCAGAGTCTCTCACTCTGTTGCCCAGGCTGGAGTGCAGTGGCACACTCACAGCCGCTGCAGCCTTGACCTGCTGGGCTCAGGTGATCTTTCCGCCTCAGCCTTCCAAGTAGCTGGAACCACAGGCACGTGTCACCATGCCTGGCTAATTTTTCTTGATTTATTGTAGAAATAAGGTCTCACCATGTTGCCCAAGCTGGTCTCGAACATGTAGGCTCAAGCAATCCTCTCACCTTGGCCGCCCAAAGTGCTGGGATTACAGGCGTGAGCCACTGTGCCCAGTCTAGGTGTATATCTATTAGAAATGAAAACATATGGTCACACAAAAACTTGAATATGATTGTTCCCAGCAGCATTATTTGTAACAGCCAAAAGATGGAGACAACTTAAGTATCTATCCACGATGAATAAAGAGCCATAATATAGTATATACGTACAATAGAATATTGTATTTGATAATAAAAAGAATGTAATATTGATGCATGCTGAAGATGGATGAAACTTGAAAACATTCTAAATGAATGAAGCCAGTAACAAAAGACCACACACCGTGTGACTCAATTTATATGAAATGTCCAGAATAAGCAAATCCATGAAGACTGAAAGTAGATTAGTAAGTTGCCTGAGACTAGGGGTTGGGAGTGGGCTGGAATGGAAAATAACTGCTAATGGTTTGAGGTTTTTTTTTTGAGGGAGGGTATGAGAATGTTCTGTATTTAAATTGTAGTGGTGTTTACACAACTCTGAATATGCTAAAAAAGAATCATTGAATTTCATACTTTAAGCGAATAAATTTTATGGTATATGATTTTTATCTCAATAGAGATGTTTAAAAAATTAACCAAGTTGGCAGGCCATAGATTGACAAAATTGTCTATATTGATTTCTACAAAAAGTGTTTTATGGATGTTTTTGTTACAACAATAGTATAGTTCTATTTATAAATTAGAGTTGTACACAGTGAATATGAATAATTTACTATATTTTCTCCTATCTCTTGCTGTATATTATTTTATACTACTTTTCTATGATTGTGAAACATTTAACTTTAGTCACTGTATTAAACTATATAATTTTTATATATTAATAATAACCATTGGTTAATTGTTAATGTAATTTATTTTGTCAGGAGTAGGGTTTTGTTTGTTTTCGTCTGTGGTTGTGATACTAAAGAAATTGTGATGAATTTTAGAATGTCAGTTCTGGAGTATTATATTATCAAACCAAGTAATGTTGATAGTATCTTTTAAATGTCAGATGACCTAGCACACAAAAATCTTGGAGTTTGAAGAGAGATAGAAGTGATGGACAGGCATGGGAAAAGCGTGTGTTCACAGCTATGCCTAGTCTTTGGCCTGCAGTGCCGACAGATTAGGGATCCACATTGTGCTGCTGTCTCTTCTTCCCTTCCACAATGAGATGGAGAGTACTTATTTAATTGTATGTTTTTCATTATAGAACTAATGGATTTTTTTAAACAAAAATTCAGACATTACACAAGGTTGAAAGGTGATCTTTACAGATTATGTGTATGTTATTTGTATTTATAAATACATTCTCTGATATTTTTGGTAGCTCCATAGTATTCCGTTGTGTGAATGTATCAGTCCTCTACTGATTGGCCCTTAGGCTGTGACCAGCCTTTTGCCAGTGTAAACAAAACTGCAAGGAACATCTTAATAGTGTGTCCATCTTTGCATGTGTGATTTCTTTGAGATAATCACATGTGACCTTCCTTCTTTTTTCCAGGACCACGATTCTGATGCCCGCCCCAAGAGCACGGGTGTCTTCCAGGATGAGGAGCTCCTTTTTAGCCATAAACTCCAAAAGGACAATGACCCAGATGTTGACCTTTTTGCTGGCACCAAAAAAACTAAGGTCATCTCTAAATGGATCTCCGCATTACGGTTTTGTTATTGTATTGGATATTTTCTCAAAAACTCACCTAGCTCTCTTTGTAAATTGTTTTCCTTTTGGGTATTGAATTTGAGTGTTGTCTGTTCTAGTTGTTAGAGCCCAGTGTTGGGAGCCTGTTTGGGGATGATGAAGATGATGATCTTTTCAGCTCTGCCAAGTCCCAGCCTCTGGTATCAGCCTTTTGTTCTTAATACTGGGGTGTGTGAGAAAGTTTCTGGGAAAGGAAATTAATGCCTAGTTAGATGATTAAGGAAAATTCGCAGAGAATCATGGTGCTTACTAGTAAATAAATGGCAAGTAATATGCTGATGGGAGCATGTAGGGAGGCTATGTCTCTCAGTTTGTGTTCTTTCCAATCTTTATGTTCCCTAAACTAACATGAAAACATTAATTGACTTAGACTCTCTGACTGTATTACAAATTTGCTTGATTTTTAAATGGTTTATTGAAAGACCATTGTATACAATATAATGACTGAATGCTCGTGCTTTTCAGGTGCCATGCTTTAAATCAGAGTTTTAGTCTGTGTGTGTCATTTTTCCCACCTACCTCAGTAGGTTTTATAAGTATTTTATTTTCTTTTTATCATAGAGAATATGCCTGTGAAACTCAGTCTTTTTAGAATGCTATTCTGAAATGCTACCTTTCAGTTAGTTCAACCCTCATTTGAGAAAGGACTTTTAAAACTCAGAAGTCAGGATTCTTTTTTGCATTATGATTTTTAAAAAATTTCTAAGATATCTGACATATTTTGGTATTCTTTTTCTTTCTAAGGTACCAGAAAAAAAGAGAGTAGTGAAAAAAGACCACTCTGTTTCTTCTTTTAAAAACCAGAAACATCCTGAATCCACTCAAGGTAGCAAAGAAAAAAGCTTATGGAAGCCGGAAACACCTCAGGTTAGAACTGACCCCTTTAAGGATTTTCAGTTCTTGTTTGCTTCCCAATACAGATAAATTCCATTTTATAGATCCAAAACTGTTCAGAGTTCTCTACATTAAGGAAGAAACAGCAACTAGGACTACTATTCAGCCTTTACTGCATGCTTTTATCCCTGCTCATTTCCCATCTCCTTAGTCCACACTCCAGAGTCTCATAAATCTAGTTAATTGTTATTTTTGGATTTGATACCAAATTCAGTTCCAAGATGGAGTTAAGTTAGGATGAAGAATCCTCTTCCCACTAGAGCTTCTTTTTCTCCATCTGGGCTCCCTTGGAGTAGAATTAAGTTAGAATTAAATATAAATTACATCTGGTTTCGTGGTTGCTCCTCAGTGTTGCTGCTCCCAGATTGTTGCTGTTGGGGCTTCCTCCACAGCACTCTTCTCAGAGCTCTACAGAGCTCTTGGAAACAGGCCAGGACTGAAGAATGAGTGCCAGTTTTGTAGACAGGTGTTCTTGGATGTCTTTCAGAGGTCTCAGGATCCTGAGTTGTTAAAGTGAGGCCCTTGGAACTAGCACATCTCCACTGACCTTTCCCAGAACTCAGATTCTTTTTCTTTTCGAACTGGTGTGTGAGGCTGTGGGTGAATTTCTCTGTATGATCCTTGATATTTGCTATATTGGATAACCAACATGATGATTTTGCCACTGGTCAGGTTTTGGTGCTCTTATAAACTATAGCGCTTATAGGGGTCTTACTCATCATCTATGTCTCCTTTTACTCCATATGCAGTCTAACAGCCTTTGACTTACATGACAGAGAAGGAGGCATATGTGAAGTGATGTTAATGAAATGGGAGGCTCGGAAATATTTGAATGCCTTTCCCATTGTAGAACCATAGAAAGTGACAGCTTTGCTCCATCACAGATTTTTTTTTTTTTTTTAATCAGCACAAGAGGCACTTTTCTTTCTATTTCCCCGGTGGATTTTTAACTGAATGTAATTTCATACAGGACTCATCAGGTCTCGTGCCATTTAAAACCAAAGAACCATCCTCTCGGATCGGGAAAATACAAGTAATTATAGCACATCTGGATTCTTCATTGCCTGCCTTGTGGCATCTATAACTTTTTTGGAGTTTTGCTTTTGTCAGCTGCTGCCAAGCATTTTCTCATCTCTTCCCCAACTTCCCAATCCCCATTCCCACCTAGTTGTTGCTTCTTGTGTGCTGCATCTTTAACATCTTTTCTTTGATCCCAGTGGTGGGCATAGATGTATGACCCTTTGTTTTAATTCTGAGTCTAGATCAGGTGATTTTTCCTGCATTTCTCTTTTCCTCTCATATTGCACTTTATGTGTGCTGAGTCTAGTCTTGTGTCACTGTAATGATAGTAGGCTACTGTGTTGAAGAACAGATTCAGAGTTTCATTTTTCTTCTTTAGGCAAATTTAGCGATCAACCCAGCGGCCTTGCTTCCTACAGCGGCTCCCCAGATCTCTGGAGTAAAGCCTGGTTCAGCAGAATTGGCTTTTTCTTCATCTGAACCCAGAAGGAGCCACGGTCTGGAAAGTATGCCCACTCTTCCTGGGAATGGGGAGGCCGGCGTGAGTTTCGATCTTCCAGCTCAGGCAGACACCTTACATAGTGCAAACAAGGTGATGGAATCATCCTTTGCTTTCTCTTTCTTTTTTTAACCAGAACACATGTATGCTTCTTTCTAGTCTATCAATTGCACACAGTAGTCTGACTTTGACTCCTCATTTGAAGGAGGCATCTCATTCTTCCTTCAGCCTCTCCTCCCTAATTCTCTCTACCCCTATAATTCTGCATCTGCCTTTTCACGGCCTGCATTTGTTACATTTACATTCTACTCAGTCACCACAATGCTGTCCCACTATCTCAGCCGGTGTCTGCCACCTCCAGGCTCTCAGACACTGCCACCTGGGGGTCTTCTAATCACAGAGCAGATTGTGCCTCTCCTCCTGGCTCCTGGCTTCCCAGAGAAGAACATTCAAGCTCCTGGGTTGATATGAAAGCCCTTTACAATTGATGCCAATGAGCTTTCCCACCAGTCACTTCACACTGACAGCCTGAACTCCAGACACACCAGGGGCCACTCCCTGAACACACATGCTCTATTCTGCCACTGCCCGTGGTGCCTTCTGCCTTCTCACTAGGAGTCCTCCTCCCTATCTACAGCTCTGCTCAAACATCTTTGCCTCTGTGCTGACATGCCCTGCACTCTCTCCTTCAAGATCCCACAGCCCCCCAGCTAGAGCTGCCTGTCACACTGTTTTCATGAGTCCTCCTTGATGGACTGTGAACTCTTTGAGGCTTTCCTTTCCTTTTAGTTGTTTTTCTTGTTTCTGTCCAGTCTTCCTAGAAAGTCTTAACTGATCTGCAAGTAAGCCACAAGACCTACCTAGGATGACCTAATCTTGGCAAATACATTCATTTCAGGTGTTTTCAAACCTAATTTTGCCTGTACAAAATAAAAACATCCTTCCTTTTGTTATAGTTCTTGTTAGTTTTTTGTTGTTGTTGTTGTCATTGTTAAGGTTAACTTGCCAACTTCTTAAAATCAGTTGTGAAATTTACTTGAAGTTTGCAAACATAATTGTCCTTTGCCCAAAGTAGATTGTAGTTTCTCAAAATTTAACTTGAATTATATATTTTGGAAAATATCACAAATACTACATCAGTGTTCTTTTTTTTTTTTTTACTTCAGTGTTCTTAAACGACTAATCTTTTGACATTATATTAAAGGCTCTGATTTTTAAGCCATATTTTTAATGTGAATTATTTAACATTTAGGTTTAGTATGTTGACTTTTAGAAAACAGCACTTCAGATTAGTTTCCTGTCTTTATTGTCTTGTATCTCCCTGCTCCTGGAGCCTGAATTTAGTCTAGTCCCCTAATAAAGGTTAGGGTCAGAATTCCCCAATTCTTGTTGTGAAAGATACCCAAATGTAAAGTAAAGGCAGAGTAGGTGCCAGGGAGGCTTGTGGGACACATAGCATCAGCATGCCTACTTTCCAGGATTTCAGCAACAGATGAAGCTTTTTGTGTGAAACTGAACTGAAACTGCCTTCAGAAGATTAAAAAATGGAGAATACTAAAGGGTTAAGAATGACTTAGGCTAGGTGTGGTAGATCACACCTGTAGTCCCACTACTTTGGTAGGTTGAGGCAGGAGGATTGCTTGAGCCCATTATTTGAGGCTGCAGTGAGCTATGATTGCATCTCTGCACTCTAGCCTGGGCAACAGAGCAAGATGCTATCTCTAAAAAAATAAAAAGAAACAAATAAGAAAATCAAAAAACCAAGAATAGCTTAGCCTTAGAGTACTGGGAAATATTAAACCCTTCTTTGGAAATCCTTAAGAAATAACCTGTTCTATGTCAATATTTTGATTGAAGTAGCCCAGATATCATGATAGTATTTTGAGTTGCTGATTCTTTGCTATGGTAGCTTTGAACACTTTATTTTATTATAAGATCAATATGTGTTTTTTTGCCATTGCAGAGCCGTGTCAAAATGAGAGGGAAGCGTAGACCACAGACTCGTGCGGCTAGGCGGCTGGCTGCCCAGGAGTCCAGCGATGCTGAAGACATGAGTGTCCCCAGAGGACCCTTTGCACAACTGGCAGATGGTGCTAATTCTCCTGATGACCGTCAGCCACAGCTCAGAACAGCCAGTAGAGAAGACAGCTGTGAGGAGGCCATTGCAGCTGCCACTCCACTTTGGGAAGGCAGTGCTGTGTCTGGAATAGACAGAAGCCCCTTTGCAAAGTCTCTGGGTCAATCCAGAGATGAGGCTGACCTCTTTGATTCTGAGGACATTTTTTCTAAGAGCACTGGATCTCAATCCTTGGAGAGAACAAAAACCAAGGCAAAGGCAGCAGAGGCCCATGCCAACCAACTAGGGGGAAGTAAAGAAAAGAACCCCATGTTTTCTGCTCTAGGTGAGGCAGGCAGTGATGATGATCTCTTTCAGTCTGTTAAACCAAAGCCAGCAAAGAAAACAAATACCTTTTCTCTCCTGGAAGACGAGGATGACCTGTTTACAGATCAGAAAGTCAAGGAGTCAAAATCCAACAGTCATCAGGATATCAGATCAAAAACACAAGACATTTTTGAGGTAACAGAGCATAAAACGCTTTTGATTCTGTATTAAGGAAGACATCTGAGTGGTTCATTTGTGCCATAGGTTACAATACGATTGTTTCATGCATGTGCTTTAGCTGCTTGGTAATTATAATTAGGCTTTTATTAAGTCTGAAATTTGCTCAGAAGTGTTTTTTTTGTTGTGTTTCACATATAGATTATTTCTTGACTGGTCATAATTGATACAGGTCATGACTTCTATAGTATTTATAGTTTTGATTTCTTAATTTTTATAGAATGTTGCTGCAGTCTGCTTGCTTATTGTACCACTCTGTGACATAAATAAAACCCTATCAGTCTAGCTTGAGTATCTAACTCCTGGTTTTGAGAAAATAGGCCCTGGCTGAAACTGACAATTTAGTGTAAGCAATAAGACCTTCAGTGGCATTTGCTCTGCAGATGTTTATTGAACATCTTGGACCACAGGCATAAGGTGAACTAGGGCAAGTGCTGTGCTCCTTAGAGCTCTTAGGAAAGGGAATCAAATAAAACAGGGCAGCAGATAATGAAGATGTTTTCAAATAGCACTGTGTGCCGTGAAGAAAATAATCCAGGACAGAGTAGTGGGTAAGGGTAGGAGGTGCTCCTTCAGGGAGGACTAGTAGAGAAGACTTTGCTGCAGAACTGTCCTGTGAGCTGGGCCTAGAAGAATGAGAAGGGCCTGGCTACTCAGAGATCTGGTTTAGTGCATTCCAGGCGGAGGGGGCTGCTACTTGCCTGCTGCCCAGCACCCTGGCAGTTGGCATTTCCACAGCTTGAAGTGTTTTTAGTTTTTTTTTTTTTTTTTAAATTGATCTAAAATTGTTTTACTTGTTTTTTTGGCTTAACAAGGATGATATATTTGCTACAGAAGCAATTAAACCCTCTCAGAAAACAAGAGAGAAGGAGAAAACTTTGGAACCCAACTTATTTGATGATAACATTGATATCTTTGCTGATCTAACTGTAAAACCAAAAGAAAAGTCTAAAAAGAAAGTGGAAACGAAGTCAATATTTGATGATGATATGGGTAAGTTTGTTTTTCTACATTTGACCTAGAAAATCATTACTGTTCTGTCACTTGGTATTTTTCCTGCTACCTTCTTCTTGGCTCTTTCCTGGAAAATGCTTCCCAGTGGGTTTCCTTTGACTTACAATGTAATTCTGAGTTAGGCTGAGGATGGATAAGTAAATGGGCTAGTCATTTTGGTGAAGCCACTTTTTGGAATGAGGAACATCAAGGAATTTGAAGGCACACAGACTTTGAACTTTAAGTATAATTTAGCTTTTATCCTAGTGTACCCTGCCAATCATCTGTGACAAACACTCTTATGTTATGAAAGAAGGATCAATCAGAAACAACACCATGTGCTTAAGAAGGCTGAGGTGGCTGCCTTGGGTGTGATGCAGTTGGTTGAATCAGAGTCCCAGTTGGAGAGGGAGTGTCAGTGGTTCTGTCCAGAAGGACAGCAGCACTAGATAGGGAATGGAGGTTCTAACTCAGACTTTGCATCTCACTGAAGTCTTCAGGATTTGTGAACAAGCTTCTCTTCCCTCCGTGGCACAATTTCTACTTTTGTTAATAGGCAAACCAGATGCCTGAGAACCCTAAATGTTGGACTTCTGATAGGTTGTGTTGGCAGGGAGGACTGGGACTGAGGCCTGTTTCTCCCAATCCTCCTCTCTCCAATGTAGACCTTAAGGGTAACTGGGAGACAGTGGAGCTGCAGAACCATACTGGGTCTGTGCTGCCAGCAAGCTGTGTGCTCTGTCTTCCTCTGCTTCCCACCATACAGGGGTGCAGAAGAAACTTCATTTGTTTCTTTTATTGCACAAAAAAGTAATTCATATCTATTGTAATAGATTCAAAATATTCAGAAAATATAAAAAATGAAGAACAACACCTAGAGGTAATATTAACAGTTTGATGTGTGTTCTCTCAGACATGGTGATATTAATATATGCTTGTGCACATACGAATATGCACCCATTTTTTTTAAAGTAAGAATATATTTTACCTGTTCTGCTGTTCTTTTTAGTCACTTAATGTCTTTCCATGTCAGTAGATAAAGATCTACTTCCTTGTTCTCAGTGGTTGTGCAGTGTTGCTTTGCACAGAGTCATTAGCCTATTGATGACAATTCAGATTGTTTCTAAGTTTTTTCTACTATAAATAAGTCTGTGGTCTTTAACATTATCTTTATGTACACATGCTAAAATAACGGTAGCATGGAATCCTAGCAGTAACATTAATGGGTAAGTAGTAACTAAGTGGGACGAGATTTAGAGTCAGTGACACTAAACATGAAAGTAGTCACAGAGGCTTACATTCATATCATTGAGATGCCTGAAAGAGGGTGGAGCCTATGTTGGATTTTCCTTTGCATATTTTTATTGCTCCTTTTAAAATCCAGAGTGAAAAGTATGTAGAAATACGTCCAGTGTCACAAGATGGTAAGGTCATGAACTGAGGTAGAGATTGGGTTCTCTTTTTCTGTACACACATACACACACACACACACACACACACACACACACACACACACACACACACACGTGTAGCTGAGAAGATTGTGCTCTAAGAGAAACTGTGTCTTATATGTGAACATAAAAATTAGTAACAGAGCCAGGACCAGAATCGTAGAGACTTGATTTCTATATTAGTGTTTTAGAACACCACTTCCTGTTACCCAAACGGAATACTTTGATGGTTTATTTGGATGTGTCTTTAAAGCTCCCATTTTTTGCCTACTTAGTAATTTTTCTTTTCTTTTTAAAGATGATATCTTCTCCTCTGGTACCCAGGCTAAGACAACCAAACCAAAAAGCCGATCTGCACAGGCTGCACCTGAACCAAGATCTGAACACAAGGTGTCCAATATATTTGATGATCCCCTGAATGCCTTTGGAGGTCAATAGAACATACAAGGTGTTCATATTTTACCCTTCGGCTACATCCTTGAGTTAGTGATGCTGTCTTATACGCTCATGGTCTTGTAACTGGATTACAAAAAGCAAATACTGAAACAGCTAGCTCACCTTTTACCCAGTGTACTTAGTATTTTTCTGCACTGATTTTAATCATGCTTAATACTACAAAACAAAAATAAATGTTTTACAGTGATTGGTTGGTTTGTTTTGATTGAATACAGTACAATTTATGGCATGTTAGAGAAGAAATCTGTTTGTGGCTTTCATGAGTGGGTAGGGAATCTCAGAAGTAGCAAATGTCACACAGATGACCAGCAGTCTTCGTTTTGTGGATGGGAAACCTTAGGGCCTGGACAGGTGAGAGAGAAAGAGGAGCGATTATGAGTCTTAACCATGTAAGAAGAGGTTTCCACTGATTCCACTGAATTCTGAAGATGCCTCTGCAAGTCCTGTAAGACAACGTTTGGCAAACTATGGCCTCCACTGTCTGATGTTGTAAATAAAGTTTCATTGTAACATAACTACACCCATTCATTTACATATTGTCTTTGCTTTCACCCACCTAGAATGCCATTGTTGAGTAATTGCAACAGAGACTGGATGGCCCACAGAGCCTAAGATGATTTCTCTTTGCCCCTTTACAGAAGCAGTTTCCTGACCCTTACTCTAAGGTATCCATTTCTATGGAGGCAACAGAATGAACCCAGGTAACAGGGAAGAAGTGCTGAGTATGGAAATGTCAGTCTCTAGAGCAGCACTGCCACATGGGATTCTGCACTGATGGCAATATTCTGTATCTGAGTTGTTCAGTGCAGTAGCCACTAGCCACATGGATGGCTCACCCCCATTTCAGTCTGTGTGTTTCTGTGCAGTGTTGACTTGCTGCTGAGTATTTAGTTTGTAATCATGGCACAATCTTGTAGACTGACCAGCTTGGCCTCACCAATCCTGAAGCCACTAACTTCTTCCTTGAGGCCTGTAAGATTAGACTGGAAATTACTTATACCCAGAGTCAAAGATTGTGTGCAGTTCCCACAAGTCAACTGTTTTCCTTGCTCTGCTGTGAGAGTGGAAGAAAGGGGCACTTACTAGTTGCCTACTCCCTTTACCTATTCATTTTGTGCATCTTCCTTCTCTTCCCTGGGTTACTTGTATACATAATTTCTTGCTCTGAGCTCAAGCCCAATGTAGGGTCTGAGTAAGTATTTGTTAAAAATTTTGTTTTTCTTTTGGAAATCTACTCATCAGTCATTAGGATTGATTCCCAAGGATTTGGAAAACAATAGGGGTAGATAATATACAAACTGCTACTTTGAGAAGTTTGAAAGGGGGAGGGAACTTATGGCAAAAATAAAAAAGTTTCTTGCCAACTCCAGGTCTGACAAAGGCTTAACATCTTGGATCTACAAGGAACTCAAACGTGCTGAAAAGAAAAAAACAAACAACCCCATTATAAAATGGGCAAAAGATATGAACAGATACTTCACAAAGGAAGACATCCGAGCAGCCAACAGACACATGAAGAAATGTTCAACCTCACTAATTACCAGGGAAATGTAAATCAAAACCATGCTGAGATACCACCTAACTCCAGTCAGAATGGCCATTATCAATAACTCAAAAAATAACAGTTGCTGGAGAGGGTGTGGCAAAAAGGGAACACTTCTACACTGTTGGTGGAAGTGTAAACTAGTGCAGCCTCTGTGGAAAGTAGTGTGGCGATTCCTAAAAGCTCTAAATATCAACCTCCCAAATGACCCTGCAATCCCCCTACTGGGAATATTCCCTGAAGAACTCAAATCACTCTATCAAAAAGATACCTGCACGCGAATGTTTATCACAGCATTGT